CGTGTGAATACTTACACTATGACTTTACGTTTCACTGCAACTGCCCACAACACAACTTCTAAAAACTCTCTCAAAAAAAATACTTGGATACGAGTAATCATTTTCAGCCAAAAAATCAATAACTGCCCATTTCAGTGGGATACAGATCAAAAATGGGAAACGTGAGGGTGGGCAGGCATTGCACAGGCACTTTAAATTCACGGTTTTATCATTTAGATAATGTATTCTATGCTAAATTTTACATATTCACTGGGTTTTAAATAAGCGCATTTTCCATTCAGCGAAATTAAAACCCAGTGAATAATTAACCTTTTTACAGTATATGAACACATTTGCTTACAGGCGACTGATTTATCAGACTGTGAGAGCGATGGTGAAGAAACTAGCTATGAAAGAAAACGACAGTTAAATATCAAAGAGAACCAGGCAATGGTAAATCTTATCATTCAGTTACTGTAGTAGAATACTGTATTTTCGCTTAGATTTAATTTTCGCTGAAAGAATGATTCAGTGAAAATAAAATCCAGCTAGTATACCTTTTTTCCTATATTTTACATTCAACTCAGTGGAAATTAATTCCATACAAAGCACCAAAAATGTCGTTTCAGCGAAAATAAATTGCAGCTAAAATAAAGTATTTTACAGTATTCTGTGAATACCTGTAGTCGATAAAATGCAACTTGATATCATCTTTTGAATACCAACTTTTTGTCACCTTTCACAAAATGATCATAAATCATTTTTTTCCCAAAAATTATTCCCAAATTTTTATCAAAAAGTGCAGCCAGTTGCGAGATGTCAATTTGTTCCAAAATTAACAACTAAAATGATAGAAAAATACTGGTATAAAAATGTGACGAAATTGTGGCAAGTAAAATGCTGGTACATGTATTTAAAGTATACCTTAAGCGACTCTCGTGAATACTGTCATAGAGAACAGTCCAGTGTTACACCCTGCCATGTTAATATTATAAAACAATTTTTTTTTTCTAGTTGAACCAATTACTTGCTGAACTTAAAAAGATTCCTGGGATAATGCCAGTGAAGAAGGCAACTCCTAAGGTAAGTATGGGTCGGAGCAAGATTGAATGTTTGAATCAAAGACAAGGGGTGTGGGAGGTTGCTGTAATTCAATGTGCCAGCCTCTAACAGGAATGATTTTGTAGGAATCCAGAGTCCAAATCAAGTTGAATCGGCCTGTAGACTGCTGGGGAGGTCAGTCCTCAAAATAAACACTTTATGCGACTGTATAGATAACATGAGCCATGAATAAAAATGTTATGGCCTGTCATTTCCTTTGTATTTACACTTACTTTGTTTACAAATTGTGAATTTCATTTTATCAAATTAGAAATTCCAGGAATTACTAAGATGTTTTTTCAGAACACTATATAAATGTACGATTTTCTGATGCGTCCATGACGTGCTAATGAATTAGCACTAATTATTGAATCACAAAATTATTTTCCTTACTCTTAGATGAGAAGTCATTAAAAAAATATATAATTATTAGAAAATATTTGGAAAGTTATTTCGAGAATGGCATTCGATACAATTTGTTAATGCATTTTTTTTTTCATTGTTCATCTTCTGTTTTTATACACCAGCACAATTTACTGCAAATAAAATACTCCAAATATGAAAGAGTACCACCTAATCTTTCTCCTTGAAACGATCTGCTTGCCACTAATCACAATCTGATTCCTAACAGTGTCTTCTTACATGTCTAGATTACAAAATGTCTTTTAAATTGATGAGTATGCTAATTTTTCAGACGTCTCGAAGATCTTTCCCATCTGAAATGGTTGAAAAAAGACGCAATCCTCCTCGCAGTGCAAGAGCTAGTCCACCAAAGACCCGATCCAGAACTAAGAGAGTGCGGGAAGATGTAGATGAAAATGGAGATGATGATCAGATCTCATCTAAGAAAGTAAAGGTAATGTGTAGTGAAGATCAACATTGGTTAACTATTAGTATATTATGGCTAGCTGTTTAAATTTAAATGCATAACAATAAAAATATATTTTTGCAGAAATTATTTATTCGGTTTGGACCATCTAAAACAAAACTGAAGAAAGAGGGTGAGGAGGAGGATGCGGATGAAGATGGAGATTGGGAATTTGATGAGGTTAGTTGTAAAACATCTATTACTGTAGTGATCAGAATAAATGTGTTATTTGATGGTTTTTGTCATTGTAGACTTTGTTTTCAACATCAAAAAGAGGATGTCATGTTGGCAATTTGTTCTTTATAAATATAAATATATACATATATATACATGTATATTCATCTCAAAGTAGTTATCATGTCAATAAGCAGTGATGGCAGAAAGCACTCTCCCTTGCAGAGTCTTCTTGACCTAGGGAGCCACAGAGAGCTGCAACTAGACTCTGCCACAGGCGACATTTTACATCAAAATTGTTGGTATTCCGCGTTTTTTAGTCCCCATTCGGACGCAGTCCGAAAACGGGGACTTATGTTTTGACCCCCGTGCGTGCGTCCGGACCTGTATCTTAGAAATGCCTGGACCAATCACAATAAAACTTCACACATACATCATACATGATATCATACATATGCACGTCAATTTGTTTCATGATCTGATTCAAGATGGCCGAGTGGCGGCCATTTTTGTGCTAAAAAATCATAAAAAGCAACCATTTCTCGGCTGTTTACAGATGGATTTTGTTCAAACCTTGTATATACGTTGGACATTATAGGACCTTGATGCATATCATTTTGTTTTACGATCTGATTCAAGATGGCCGAATGGCGGCCATTTTTGTGCTAAAAAATCATAAAAAGCAACCATTTCTCGGCTGTTTACAGATGGATTTTGCTCAAACTTGGTATATACATTAGACATTATGGGACCTTGATGCAAATAATTTTGTTTTTCAGATAACATTCAAAATGGCCGACTGGCGACCATTTTGTATTAATCAATGTGGTTCTCGTGTCATATCTCCAATATATTGTTTTGACTGATTATGTTCAAATTTTAAATATTCATTATACATCATGTCATAGATATATTAGTTTGACGATCCTATTCAAAATGGCCGAATGGTTGTCATTTTTGTACTAAAAAATCATCAAATATCAAGCATTTCTGGCATTTATGGATGATTTCGTTCAAACTTGGTACATACATTAGACATTACGGGTTCCTGATGCACGTCATTTTATTTTTCAGATCAGATTCAAAATGGCTGTTTGGCGGCCATTTTGTTTTAATGAATGGGTTTCCAGACCCATATGTCTGACTTGTTTTGTCTGATTATGTTCAAATTTTTAATATTCATTATACATCATGTCAGGGATATATTGGTTTAATGATCTTTTTCAAAGTGTGCTATTTTTGTGCTAAAAAAATCCTTGAATATCAAGCATTTCTTGCATTTATGGATGGATTTTGTTCAAACTTATAACACACGTTAGACATTACAGGTTCCTGATGCATGTCATTTTATTTTCAGATTGGATTCAAAATAGCTGACTGGCGGCCATTTTGTTTTAATGATTGGGCTTCTAGAGCCATATCTCTTAAATACTTTGACTGATTATATTCAAATTTTATATATTCGTATATATATATACATGTATTCAAAATGGCTGATTTTGAATGCTGTTCCAGAGCAATATCTCACAATAACGACAAGTACTTGTTTGAGGATCAGAAACAAATGTCAATCATTTTAATGTTAAAAAAATCATATTCCTGACATGGTTATATTCCAGCTATATTACTATAAACAAAACTATATATCTCAAATTTGATAACTAACGGGGACTGTGCCATGCATGGCTTGTTTAATTCATTTGTTTCTGATATCCTAAGCTTCTGTTGAAAAAAATGTGTGGTATTTAAAATAAATGTCAAATATTTTTACATTCAGTGCTAAAATCTTTTCAAAGTGTTAAAATAATGAAAAAGTAGATCGTGCGGTAGGAGACGTAGATGTGAATCCTCAGTTCAAATCGTCTGTGCGTTCGCGTCGTTGCCTCGGGGTGACGCGGGCGCCTCGCGCCTGCCCAGTTTTCGTTCACCTGCTATATGACGTCACAACTGGGCGATGTTAGAAAAGAGATAGCGAACTAGGAAATCGATAGGTACAAACGTGTTTAGGTAATTTTCTCAAACATAAAATGCCAGTGGGCGTGATTTCAAAATAAATTTTATATGATTTTCGCTTGCATAGCAACGGACCAATACATCTACTTCCTGCCGCGTCGCTTGGACCACCCCCAGGGAGCGACGCGAACGCACTCGAGGCAAAACAAAAAGTAGGTCCGGTCATTAATATTTAAATTAGCTTGTGGCAGAGACTAGTGGGACGTTCCCTGGCGACTACCTAGCTTAGTGATAAAAGACCCATAGTCTCTGCGACGGAGAATGGGCAGAAAGAATGCTAAAAGGTACTGATGACGCAATTTTTTTCATTTTGCTATATAGAATATACTTTAAATTTGACTGCCACAAATATTCAGTTGAGTCTAAAATCCTATCTAAAAAGCAGAATTTGATATATTAAAAAAAAAACCTGCTCTTAGATTGGGCTGACTGTTAGGTGTTAGTGTTGGGTAGCCAATCAGTCAGTCTTGCAAGTAGCTATCAAAAATTCACGTCAGTTTAAAATGTGTGCGTCACCACTTATGATATTTTGATATCTTGTCACGATCAGAAGAAAAGCATTAATTTCAATGACTAGTTTGGATAACAAATTGACCATGAAATTCTTTTTTTTTTTTGTCATAGTTTCAATTTTGGTGTGATAAGTTTTCTTGAAATACATGCTGTGTCTAGTTGAAAGAAAACATTGTACTGTATTAATAATTGATTTATCTATCTGTATATTTCATGAAAATTGTGTGTGCTACTATTAGAGCAAATAGGGTATATACATTTATCATGCATATGTACATACATGTTTAATGATAGAACTGATTAAAATTTATTTCCTGAAATGCACGTATATGCTGTCTAGTTGTACTGCATTAATAATCAATCTATCTGCACATTTCTTTAACGTTTGTGCCATGTCTGTTACTAAAGTTACTTTGAGTAGTGCATCTCTAATAGAAGTGCACATATGTTTTACGATGAATCATTAAAATATAAAATGTCATTTACGTACGTAAAGTGCATGTACAGAAAATAAGCTATGTACATTTATCATGTTCATGTACATACATGGTGTGTTTAATGATAGAACTAATTAAAATAAACTTGTAAATCACATGCTATTTCTACCTGTCCATGTATGTATACTTGTGTGCATTTGATCAATTTTGGTACAAAGAAGGTACATGAGAAAATCTTTGTATTAACTTTCTGTCTCTGTCTCTGTCTCTGTCTCTGTCTCTCTCTCTCTCTCTCTCTCTCTATGTGTGCATCTTTTTCACTGATGTCTCTAGAACTACTACCACTACCTCAATAGTTTTTCGCAGACGTCCATGCATTTTTAGTCCCTGATCGATGTCATTTATGAATTTTTTCAACATTTTGTGTACTATTTGGTTTTGACAATACTCATTGTGGGTAATTGATTAATGTCATTATCAGGCCTTGAGGTTACAAATGGTTCTACTGCATCATGAGTGATTAGTGAGAATGTGCCATTAAAATTGATTAAAAAATGGTGATAATTAGCCTTTAATTTTGGTGAGTGATGGATGGGTAGATGGATGGATGGATGGGTGAGTGAGGAGTGGAGTGAGTGGAGTGGAGTGGAGTCATCACTCGTCTTAGAAATTAAAGTCCGTTATATGTATTAGTTTTTTTTGTGTTACTGTTTTTTTTTTTTTTTTTTTGTTTTGCCCTAGCTTCCTCAAAAAAGAAGATATTCTGGTATTGTTATTGATGATAGAACAGCGGATGAGATAACTGATGAGGATCTAGATATGGTTGCTAACAGTGTAGCTGAAAAAAACTATGACAGCATTAATGTAAGACTGGTTTCTGATTTATACGCTGCAGAGTTCTGGCTGGACCTGCTATTATAAAGTTGAATCAAACTATACAATTGGCCTCCATTTCAACATTATATCACAATGGACTGAAGGGAGGTTCCAGTCAGAGCAAGATTATTTGTTATACTTACAATATTAAATAGTTAAAACGAAAGGGTTGTCACCTGCGCACGTGCAGGAATTGAGTCCCAAGCGACGATAACAACACGTGATAAAAACGCAAAGGCTTATGGGTAGATGCTTGTTTGTAAACGCTATGGCCATCTGACGCATGCGCGAGTGACTACTCCCTCGCTTTAATGTCACAATGATGCCACAAATTAATTTGCTGATATAGGATGACAAAGTCATTATTATTGTCATTAATTGTGATATTGTTAAAACATTTCAAAAAATTGACATTTAATTTAGTGAATTAGAATAAAGAATATAATGGGAAGTTCTCTCCCATAATGCAATTTTATTAGTCCCCGTTCGGACGTAGTCCGAAAACGGGGACTTATGTTTGCCCTGTGTGCGTCCGTCCGTCCGTCCG